ATAAAAATATTTTAATTAAAAAAATTAACAACAAAAAGACAAACCAATGGAAAAATGGACAAAGGACTTGAACAGACATTTCACCAAAGAGGACAAGCAAATGGCTAACAAGCACATGAAAAGATACTCAACTTCATTAGACATTAACCAAAAATATCCACTGCCACCTCTGACTCATAGTGACCCTACAGGACTGAGTGGAACTGCCCCATAGAGTTTCCAAGGCTGTAATCTTTATGGAAGCAGATTGTCACATCTTTCTGTCATGGAGCAGCTGGTGGGGTCGAACCACCAAGTACTTAACCACTATCCAGCAGAACTCCTCCATTAGGCATTAAACCCATGACCATCAAGTCAAGTCAGACTCATAGCGACCCTATAGGACAAAGTAGAACTGTGCCATAGGGTTTCCAAGGCAGTAAATCTTTATGGAAGCAGACTGCCTCATCTTTCTGCTTTGGAGTAGCTAGTATGTTCTAATTGCCGACTTTTTAGTCAGCAATTGAATGTTTTAACCACTGTACCACCAGAGCTCTTTCGTTAGGCATTAAACCACTCCAAACCAAACTCACTACCATCGAGTCGATTTGACTCATAGCAACCCTTCCTTGGGTTTCTGAGGCAGTATCTTTACAAAAGTAGATTGCTCAGTCTTCCTTCCGAGGAGTGGCTAGTGGGTTTGAACTGCCATCCTTCTAGTCAGCAGTCAAGGCATTAGGGAGATGCGAATGACAACTACAATGAGAAACCAGCTCATCCTCACAGGAGAGTGATTTTAAAAAAATTCTTAAATGGAAAATAACATGTGTTGGGAGAGGATGTGGAAAATTTGGGACCCTCATCCATTACTGGTGGGAATGCAAAATGGTACAGCCACTGTGGGAAACAGTTTGGTGGTTCCTCAAAAAGTTAAACATAGAACTACCATGTTGTTGCTATTGGGTACCATCAAGTCAGTTCAGACTCACAGCAACTCTCTGCACAACAGAACGAACACTGCCCAGTCTTGTATCATCCTCACAATTGTTGCTATGCTTGAGGCAACGGCTGCAGCCTCTGTGGCAATCTATCTCACTAAGGAACTTCCTCTTTTTTTCCCTGACCCTCTACTTTACCTAGTATGGGATCCTTCTCCAAGGCCAGATCCCTCCTGATAACATGTACAAAGTGCATGAGATGAAGTCTAGCCGTCCTCCCTTCTGAGGACCATGCTGGCTACACTTCTTCCAGGACAGACTTGTTCATTCTTCTGGCAGTCCATGGTATGTTCAGTGTTCTTCGCCCACCATAACGCAAAGGTATCAACTCTTCTTCAGTCTTTCTTATTCATTGTCCCATTCTCACATGCTTAAGAGCCAACTGAAAATATCACGGCTTGGGCCAGGTTCACCTTAGTCTTCAAAGTGACATCTTTGCTTTTTAACGTTTTGAAGAGGTCTTTTGCAGCAGATTTGCCCAATCGCTTGACTTCTTGACTGTTGCTTCTATGGATGTTGACTGTTATTCAAGTAAAATGAAATCCTTGACAACTTGGGTATTTTCTCCATCTATCACGATGCTGCTTATTGGTTCAGTTGTGAGGATTTTTGTTTTCTTTATGTTGAGGTGTAATCCATACCGAAGGCTGAAGTGTTTGATCTTCATCAGTAAGTACTTCAAGTCATCTTCACTTTCAGCAAGCAAGGCTGTATCATCTGCATATCGCAGGTTGTTAACGAGTCTTCCTTCAATCCTGATATGGTTCACATATAGTTCAGCTTCTCGGATATTTGCTCAGTATACAGATTGAATAAGCATGGTAAAAGGATACAACCCTGACACACACCTTTCCTGATTTCAGACTACATAGTAGACCCTTTCAAATGACTGCCTCTTGGCCTATAGGTATAGGTTCCACATGAGCACAACTAAGTATTTGGGAATCCCCATTCTTTGAAATGTTATTCATAATTTACTATGATCCACACAGTCAAATGCCTTTGCACAGTCAATAAAATACAGGCCAACGTCTGCTGCTATTGAGTGGGGAAGCCAATAATCTTTGTGGTATTCTCCACTTTCACAGAATATGGCAGTTAATCTTTGAAAAACACAGGAAGAACTACCATATGATCACTCAGCTATAAAGAGAAATGAAGTCCTGATACATGCCACAACATGGATGAACCTTCAAAATATTATGCTGAGTGAAAGCAGTCAGTCACAAAAGGATAAATATTATATGACCTCATTTATATGAAATACACAAATATATAGAAACCAAAGCTTAGTAGTGGTTACCAGGGCAGGAGGGAGGAGCAAAGGGGGGAAAATGCATGCAGTCTTAGGTTAGAAGCCACCGAGTTTCTGTTAATGGTAGTAGAATAATTTGGAATGGAATAGTGATGATGATTGAACAACATGAACATAAACAATGTCTCTGAACTGTACAATGTAAAAATGTTGAATTGGCAAGAGTTTGGTTATAGATATTTTTACCACCATAAAACAATTTTTAAAAATAAACGCATGCTGCTTGAAGGAAAAGGAAAGGCAGTGGATGGGGCATAGTATACAGTAGGGGCTTGGGGGCCAAAATATGGTTAGAATTCTGGCTCCCCTACTCACTAGCAGCAGATGTTGGCCAAGTCACCTGTCCACCCTAAGCCTCAATAAAACATGGATAGCAGGAGAACCCCATGCCCAGGCCTCTAAGGAAATATGCCAGAGTTAATGGGACAAGGTCTCAGATCAGAGTCTGGTACTAGTGAGCAATATAAATGTGTTTCCTATTATTGTTGTTGTCATACAGTCAATTCCAACTCATGGTACCCCCAAGTGTACAGCGTAGAGCTGCACTCCACAGAGTTGGCAAGGCTGTGACTTTTCAGAAGCAAATCACCAGTCCTTACTTCCAAGGTGCCTCTGGGTGGATTCAAACCACAAATCTTTTGATTAGTAGTCCAGTACTTAACCATTTGCATCACCCAGGGACTCCTCTATTGTTATTACTTGAGCTCAAAGAAGACACACCCATAAAGCACTTAGCAGGGTGCCCTGGCACCTGACTACAAACAGAACTTTAACCCTTTCATTCAGAGAGGTACTATCAGATAAGTGGGAAAGGGGAAAGCACTACATTGAAAGTCCAAAGTAACATTCCCTTTAAATCTGGAGGTAGTTAATCAAGCTTATAGAAGAAGGGAAGAGGTATATGCACCCCTAGGTGGACCAAGGCACACCTGTACCTGCCCATGTGTACCCGTACCTGGCCTAATAAAGATGCTAGTCTCCAACTTTTCAGAAATTAAAAGATAAATCAATGCACTAGCCACAGCCTATTTCTTAGAGAAACTCCCAGAGTAAACTCACACACACTCTAAGAATCAGAGGTTTTGCTAAATGCAATGATGCATCTGTGGGCAAGTTTTCATTCCCCCAGAGGAAGGAGTAGGTGCAAGAAGGGAGCAGAGGCAGAATGGGGGAGTACCAGAACGCCCCCCCCCCCGCCTTACTTGTCAGCTTGGAAGGAGAACTTAAACATCTGTGCTGGCTCCACAGGGGGCAGGTTTTACAAGGCAGCCCCGAGGAGCCCACTGAAGGGTGGATTCAGCCTGTAGCAAGCAGCCTGAGGAAAACAGCCTCATCCAGCTCCAAAGTGACATCACCAGGGCCCAGGCAGGACCACTCCCTCCTATAAGCCCTGAAATCATCAATGTCCTGCAGGGCCCCCACTGCTCAGAAGCCCATTGCTCTTGGCTGTGTAAGCCACAGGGGTCAGTGCGCCGCTAGTTTAGCCTCTCTGGTGCTAGCCAGGCTTGAAAAGAAAAGCTTTGTAAAGTTATTGCATTCAGTCACTGCAAACACACACACACACACACACACACACACACACACTACTCTATCTACTGGGAAACGAGTTCCCTGCAGAAGAGAGAAGCAGTAAGAGAACAGAGGGAGCCTTAAAATGATCTAATTCAGCCATCACTTTACAGCTGGGGAGACAGGAGCCTTGCCCATGACCTCAGTGCTGGAGTAACAGCAAATGGCAGCAACAGCCAGGACTTCGGGGACTTGGTCTCTCCTCTTGACGGTGCAATGTGGGCAATTCTGCCACCCTCTCTGGGCCACCACTGGAAAAGGAGGTTGGACTAGGCAGATGCTCTCAGTTCAAGCTCAAGCTCACTGCCATCGAGTCGGAGCCGACTCATAGCAAGCCCTCCTTGGGTTTCTGAAGTGGTATAACTATGGAAGTAGATTGCCCAATGTTTTTTCCGGGGAGAGTGGCTGGTGGGTTTGAACTGCCAGCCTTCTGGTTAGCAAATGCCTTAGGCACTATGCCACCAGAGCTCCTGATGCTCAGTTGTTGTTGTTGTTGTTGGGTGCTCAGTTAGGGCTCTCTAATTCTGAATCTCTCATGGTGGAGAATCCTGCTAATCCTTAGCCCGGAACTCTGCACCACTCAGAGAGAGAGTACAGGAAGGGATGTGAATAGAAGAGAGGAGAAGGCCCCACCCCTCTCCTTCCCTGCTGCTACCCAACCACCAAACCAAAAACAAATTCACTGCCATCAAGTCAATTCCGACTCATAGTGACCCCCATTGGGTTTCCAAAGTGGTACATCTTTATGGAAGTAGATTGCCTCATCTTCCTTCCGTGGAGCCGCTAGTGGCTTTGAACCATCAACCTTCTGGTTAGCAGTCAAATGCCTTAGGGCACTGTGTAGCGCACCCAACCACTAAGGATGGAATTATGGGCCCAGTCTCTATGTCCTCCTCCTCTCCCAGCCTACTCCCAGTCCACTGTCCTGGCCTGGGAGAGAAAGAATTCTTCCAAGGACATCAAACCTTAGTCACTAAGGATGGTGCTCTCACCATGAACACCTGTTAAAACTCAACTCATGACCAATTTCTGATGCTACCAGCTGGAGTGTTTAATTAAATATTACTCACTCAGGAAACAGCCCCTGCCAACTCACCCCAAACTGTACAGTTCATTTTCAGAGAAAGAGGGAGAGGAAAATGGCTGAACCACCCCCCAGCACGCATCCCTCCCCCACCACCACTGGCACCAGCAGTGAACTTGGCTTCCTGGGTGGGGTATTAGTGGTCCAGCACAGCCCACTTCTGAAAACCAAGCAAGGGAAGGCAGATTAAAGCAGATCTCTGTAACCAGGGGCCTCACTGGCAGATTACTGCAGATAGCACACCAGCACATACACTTGTTCGCATACACACAGAGAGAGGAACAAACGGACACACACCCACTTACAAAGATGCACTCATGGAGACATATATAGACAGACACACAGACACAAAGATACACAGAAACACACAGACATCACAGTAAAAACATACACTGAGGCATACATTAACTCACAAACACACATTCAGACAGACATAAATAAATAAACTCAAATACACTCTCTCACACACACTCAGACACAAATACACACATACTCTCACACAGACACTCACATACAACTTCTTCCCGACCTGCAGTTGCTCACCGCAGGTCAAGTCCACCAAGCCCAGAGGCTCTGGCATTCGGAGGAGCTTTGCAGTCTCCATCATTTGAACTTTAACAAGACATCTACCAAGTCTACACCCGGGGCGCGTGGGGTGCTGCACCCCGCGGTCCCAACGATAGCCCGGACTGCTTTTACGTTTCTCTAACTGGTTCCTAACGGGAACCCCCGGCTCTACTGTGGTCGCCAGGAGAAGCCGCGGCGGCCGGGCCCGGCGGGGAGGCGGCGCCGCCCAGGGTGTCGGCCGGTGGCCCCCGGAGAGGCGGCTGCAGACTGCCGGGGGATTCCAAGGAGCCAGTCGAGCCACGCTGCAGAGCCCGACTGGGACTGGCGGGAAAAACGAAACTAACTCTGAGGCGCGGGGTCGCGGTGGCCCTGTGCGGGAGGGGGCGGGTCGGTGTCCACGCCCGGCCGCGGGGACAGTCGCGGGAACGGCGCCCCGGAGCGCCCGGGCACCGAGAAGAGCGCAGCAGCCCTCATCCCCATGTCTGCAGCCGCCAAGCCTCCACCCCAGGGCGACCGTCCCAGGGGCCTCCTGGACCCCCGCCCATCGGGGCCAGCCGCGACTCGCCTCCGCCCGTAGCTGCAGCAGAGACAGCGGCGCTGGGCGGCGCCCTGACCCAGTCCCCCAGGACCCGCGCGACCGAAGGGCGCCCCGGTGCCACGCAGAAGAGACGGCGCCCCGCTCGCTCCCGCGCCCACCTATCCAGGTCCTAACCGCCTGCGTCCCCTGCCGCCCCAGCCCGGCCTGCCTACCGCGCCCGAGGCCGCCTCCGCTCTTCGGCCGGGCCGCGCCCGCCGCAAAAATAGAGTCGCCACCTCCCGTCGCCCCGGCGCCGGCGCCTGGAGCCTGGTTCCTGCCGCGAGCGCGCTGGCTGCCCGAGCGTGACTTCTGTGCAGAAACGCCAGAGCCACCGCGGCTTTAAAGTGAAAAAGGGGATTACGGCCGGGGGGCGGGGCCACTCGCCCCACCTCTCCACCACGCCCCCGCCTGGCGCCACGCCCCCTCCTTCCCGCTCCCTCTTAGCCCGCCCCGCCCCCTAGGGCCCCGCGTGGTGCTACACGGGCGGCCGAGGCTTCCGCGTCCTGGGGCGGAGCTGGAGCCGTGGGAGCATCGCAGGCCCAGCGGCCCCGCTGCCCCTTCCAGGTTGCTAGTGAGCGAGAGCGCGGGCAGCGCGCAGCATGGCCTTTCTGGCCCTGGAATCAGGGGGCGGCGGCCTTGCCTTGGCCCAGCCCGAAGTCTTCAGTCCCTGAGGACAAGTCTTCGGGAATCGTCAGGCAGCCTGCGCCAGCAAGAGGCCTGGGTTGCAACACCAGGAGGGTGGGTTGGGGGACTTGCTTTAAAAAAAAAAAAACAAAAAGTTCTTTGGGAACGTCGGTTTGTCTCAGTCACCCCCGAAACAAGGCCTCACTGGCATCAGCTGAAATTCTCAGCAATTTAAAGTTCTGTCATTCTGGGGCTCAGGGGAGGAGTTCAATATCCTCAGAGACAGGGGTCTCAGGACCTCGAGCTGCTGGCACCCAGCAGATGTTCCATGAATGTTTGTTGAATGAATGAATAATCAATTGCCAGGTAAGCCCTTCCTTCGGCCTTCTGGAGATCTTGGAGCCCTCTGGGGACTTCTCCATAGTGTGTCTTGTGACTAGCTAATCAAAGGGATTTTCCTTCCCTTGCCCTAAGCAAAGAAGTCACCTGCACCAGAGGGCTGGGAAGATTTTAAAGAAATTGTTTTGAAAGCAATATCTGCTTAAATTCTCCACCACTTGTTTTGTGTAAAGAACCCTACTAACTCAACAGCTAAGCTCTCAACTGCTACCTGAGAGGTCAGTGGTTCAAACCCATCCAGCAGCTACACAGGAGCAAGGCCTGGTGACTTGCTTCTGTGAAGATTGCAGCCAAGAAAACCATAGGGGGCTGTTCTACTCTGTCATATGACGTCATTGTGAGTGGAAATCACCTTGACAGCATTCAGCAACTGCCTATGGTGCCCATTGACCAACCCAAGATCAAACCACTTCCGTTCAGTTGATTCTGACTCATAGCAACCCTATAGGACAGACTAGAACTGACCCATAAGGTTTCCAAGGCTGTAAATCTTTACAGAAGCAGACTGCCACATCTTCCTGTCACAGAGCAGCTGAGAGGTTCAGACCACAGACCTTTTGGTAGACAGCCGATCAGCTTAACCACGGCGCCACCAGTACCCATTGAAGGGGAAGAGAAACTAGCATTATTGGAGAAGCTGTTATAAAGAATGTGGTTTCCACAGTTATTTAATCTTTACCATAAGCCTGTGAAGACTGTTAAACCTGTTGTAAAGATGAGGAAATAAACAACCAACTCCCACCCCCTACCCAACGCTATACACACCACTAGCAGAGCTGTGATCCCACCTGTGTTAGATTCGTCTGGTGGTGTAGTGCCTAAGGCATTTGACTGCTATCCAGAAGGCTAGCAGTTCAAACCCACCAGCCACTCCTCAGAAGGAAGGTTAGGCAATCTATTTCCATAGTGATACCACCACCTCGGAAACCCAAGGAGCAGTTACTATGAGTGGGGTTTGACTCCACAGAAGTGAGTTTGGTTTTTTGGTATGCTGAATTAGTAAGGTGCTCTGGTGGCATAGGGCCCACAGCACTTGACTGCTAATCAAAAGATTGGTGGTTCAGACCCAGCAGCCACTCCACAGAAGGAAGACTGGGCAATCTACTTCTGTAAACATTTACTGCCTTGGGAACCCAAAGGGGGTCACTATGAGTCAGAATC